TTAAAGCAGAGAAAACGTCTCAGTTTAAGTTTTAAAGCAGAGAAAACGTCTCATTCCTGCAGGATTTAATACATTTAGATGTTGTTTTTTGTTTGTTTATGGCTCCAAAACCCAGTAATAAAATGATGAACAAAACAAATGTTTTAGTCAATTGTTATATTAATTTTCAATTGTTATATTCATTTATTAAATCATATTACATATTTTTATCATATATAATAAAATATTAATATATAATGATAAGATATCATATACAATATAAAAAAGCACCAAAACAAGTGTGAAGTGATAATTGTTCTTACTGAGGGGATTTGGGAGGCTGAGTTGGATCTCTCCAGTCTTCTCCTGGTCAGGTCATTCTCCATTTCATTCACCTCCTCTTTTAGCTTCTCCAACTTCTTCTTCTTTAACTCCAACTCATGCCACAGCCTCTCCATTCGAGCTTTCTGATGCACCAACAACGCTGAGAGAAATAATAAGAAGAACAATAACAATTAATAATATGCATTATTAGCAATAGCTACCAATGTACTGGACACACTGATATGGTGGTATTAAATTAAATGTAGAAACATTTAGTATTAAACAATAACAATAAAGACAGAGAGAGATTTATGGAATATTATTAGAAATAACATTCAGATTGAGAACCGAAACCCTGATTATCGAATCGATGGACCAGAAATTAAAACAAAATAGTGAATGTACAGCATGAAGAAAACCTCTTAAACTCTAATAATCCACAAAGGTTTCCAGGCCTTTCCACAGACAGGAGGATGACGCCAGGTTGGCGTTCACATTTGTGGAAACATGACAGGCCTTTTCAAGGCGGGGCTTTTCCAGCCCTACTGCCACTTCCTGTTAATCCTCTTAAGATTTTCTCCTGGGCTTTTGTTTCTGTGCGTTAGAAATCTGAACAATATTCCAAAAAGGATAAAGGGGCATGGACCCTTTCTTCAGCTGACCGTGATGGGCCTGTAGGATTAGTGTTGGATAAAATGGAGGAGCACGAGGACCTGATGGGGACACATGGCTGCTCTAAGAGCCCTCTGCTAAGATTTAAAACCACCTGGGCAGAAAGAGCCAACGCAGAGGGAAACGTGAAGGACGATTACACAACTGACTCACAACAGAGGATAGAGTCCTGGACAAGTTAGTGAAAGGGGGGCAATCTGCACCTCAGATGAGCTTCTGGCTTTGAGGCTCTGGCCTTATTGTTACTGAGAGTTCATCAGTGTAACCTTCTGGTGTTATATGTCCCATTATCAACAGCTAAAACAACCCCCCCGATCCAGTGCTGGAGACCTCTAAATCTGTCTGCTACACCCTCCTCCATGCCACACGTTAGTTTTCTAACCATTTTTCAGCTGGTTTCCATTTATTTTCCACTTATAGTCATCATCTCCTGCACATTTATCTAGTATTATTTTTACTAAACAAATCTAGCATTGTTTTCAATACTACTAGATTACGGCAGTATTCTTAGTTTTAATAATACTGCCATAATCTAATCTATTTTTGGGAAATGGTAAAAATGATTGATTTGAATTTGACTCAACAACGAGGGTTCACTTGCACCATTTAAGCTCCTGCAGATTTGCCACCCTACATGTTTTTCATGCAGAGTTAGCTAGTCTACATTAACCTTTACAAAAAGACCACTTAATTCTCAGCCTATGTTAATGTGAGCTGAAACCACTGTCAGACACAGAGGTGGTGCTTTTTGTTCCAGAATTTGAGAAGGCTTTCTTTTGCTGAGGCTCAGAGGTAAGAGGTCTGCCTGCTGATGGGTGGGTTAGCGGTTCGATGCCAGGCTACATGCTGAGGTTTCTCTGGGCCGGGTACTGAACCCCAACTTGCCTGGGGTTCAGTACCTGACGCAGCCTCAAATGGGATTTGGTGTTCTGTGTCCTGTTTGAGAAGGTCCCACGCCTGGATAAAAGCATGGGCTGGGTCAGGAAGGACAGCCAGCGTAAAAGAAACCGACCCCTGATGGGGCAGAGCCGATAGACAAAACAATAACAACCTGTTCACAAGGGGGGGGGCTTGGAAATTTGCATGTTGTCTGTTGGATCCCAGTGTTTCTTTCACATGAACAATCCCCGCATTCCGTTACTCTAACACCGACTCAAACAGGTTACTGGGATTCAAATGGAGTTTGTTAGCCTATCATTTAAATTCCAGTTTTGTAATGAAGAACTTTCCTTTCACACCAGGGAGAGTCACATCGTTTCTGTGGACCGATTCTGTTCATCTTACACCTGCTTCAAGCATCAGGTAACATTATTAAACAGCATGGCATACATTTTCAGTTATGCTGATGATAGTTATACAGTTAGACTTATCTATGAAACCAATCAATCTGCTAAACCTGGATGTTGTAACTAGTGTTTCTCTTTGTCAGCAGCTCTCCCTGGCCTGGTGTCATGGTGCTGCTGGTCTTTGTTTGCTGCCCTGTCCACACCTGGTCAGTCCAGGCTCATGGCTGCCCTTCCTGGGTCTGATGGAGGTTTGTTTCTTCCCACAGACACCTGGTGAACTCTAACATGGCTGCCAGTCTTTACCTTGGTTCTGTAGGGCATGTTATGCGAGTTGAAGCTAAGTTTATGGTGTAAAAACAATAGAATGCAGTCGCCATTTTACATCATTCCAACAGTTAACGTGCAGCTCTCAATTGTACAAAATGAGTAAAAATAGAAGTATAAAGGACAGAAAAATCATTGTTTGCTTATTTGATTGGATAGAAGATAACTAACTCTATATGAATAGGAGCAATTCGGAATTTAATTTATTTGACTAGATTATGACTGTTTTAGAATATAATCAGATTCTATCTCGCTTGTACCCAATACCTTGTTATCTGGTGCATTAAAATGAAAGTCTGTACAGTGTGTCAGATGTTTCATATGCCGTGCACAGTCTCGTTGGATGGCTGGTAAAGGAAGTCATTGCTGATAGCATCAACGACCTCTTGCAATGACAGCTTCAAATAATACACAAAATGACTTTACCGTGTTCTTCCTATAGAATTATATTTCATTTAATCAATCAGGAACATAAAACAAGTGGGTGCTGGTTGGTTGCCTTATATTGGAAAGGTCATTTTCAGAGAAACCTATCCCCCCCAAATGCATTCAGATTTAAATAAAGAATATATCTATATTCAGACTGACTGTTACTTTGATTACACAGAAACTATGATTCTCAGGTTTTGTTGTGCTTCTGATGATTTAAATGTGATGTTGCATAATGTAACAACAATGACTAATTTTCTATCCTGCTGACTGGTGGTACACATATTTGTGATTAACTTCACATTGTGGAGAGTCAGGTGTGTCTTAAAGTAGAGCTCGAAATGTGACTCAGTCATATTATAGACGAGAAGCCAAAGATGGTGACTCAGACGTAATGCATCGAAAAGTCCAAAAAAGGAAATAGCAGTGTGCTCTCATACGTTTGACTCCTGACAGAATCTGTAGTTAGATGCTTATGAGGAGGACTCTGCGAGTCACCACATTCCTCTGTGTTAGTTAGCTTTGGTTTTTATCTTCCCTATGAAGAACAGACACTCATTCTGTAACATGGCTGAGCCACCGTGGACAGAATTCTCATTATGTACATTTGTTGAATGCATTTATGGATAGAAAGTAGGGTTGTCACGATACTAAAATTTTCAACTCGATACCGATACTCAGGAAAATACTCGATACTCGATACCATTTTCGATACCACAAGGATAAAAACAAAGACCCCAAAATTTAAATGAATTTTGAGAGGTTAGTGTCTTATATTTCAAACTGACCTGTTACTCATGTTATTGTGACTGGTGGCCCACATTAATAACCCTAACCCTAAACCTAACCCAAACCCTAACCCTCCACCCTTCATAATTGTGAGAAATAAATATTTTTTGGTTAAACTTGTTTGGACTTATTGTACAAACCTATTTAACATCCACTATTTTAACATAATAATATATATAGAGTTTAATTAAGTGTTTGAAAGATTAATTTCACAATTTTTAAATGAATCTCTATATTGCCATGAGGCAATTAGGATTTTCTTGCCTGGAATCTTCCTATTGTTAATGTCACTATAATGGCCGACTTTGATGTGGGCGGAGTCGGATATGTACTTGAGTAATGGTATCACATTATTATTAGCCATTAGCCGAAGCTAGCAGTTCAAGGCTAACAACTTGTTAATGACCATAAACAACGTAAAAAAAAACATAAATAAATCTGAGAGAAGGGGGGGGTATCAAGACTTTAGAAAATGAGTATCGTATCCGGGTACAACATTTTAGTATCGATGCTTTTTTGAGTATCGATACTTTTGACAACCCTAATAGAAAGAGAAGAGGGAAAGAGAGGAGGAGGGCATCAGGTGGCCGTTGCTAACCTTGTGTGTAGGCTGCATCATCGGAGCCCATGCTGAGTCGGCGGGATTCACTGGGCCTCTCCTTGTGTGGCGACAGTGGGTCTGAGAGGTGCAGGGGCTCTGGCTCCACAAAGTGGTGGTCTGAGGGTAAGCTGAGGAGGTTGTTGGGCTCAAACGTTGGCGATACGACTCCGGGGGACACGGCTGGAGGTTTATTAGGAGACACTGTAATTTTAAATGTGTATTTGGTGTTGGGCTGAGTCACCACCACCCGGGGGGAGGACGCCGTCCCACCGGTTGCCATGGAGGCGCGAGACTTGGGGGGGTGGTGGTGGATGTAGGCGGGGCCCATGCTCACTTGGCCCCCCACGTTCCTGGCCCCCGGGGGCCCTTGTAAGGGGGCATTTGCTGAGATGTAGACTGTGTTTCTGGCCCCGCAGTACTTGGGCTGGGAGCGGGAGCCGGCCGAGGCCAGGACGGGCTCCTCAGGGGGAGCGCTAGCAGCAGTGGGGGGACTGGCAGAGATGAATACAGTGGGCTGGCTGCGGCTCAGACCCGGACCTCCGATGGACAGGGGGGTGGTGGGGACGGTGGCCACTCCAGATGAAGAAGAGGAGGAGGTGGAGGGGCAGGAGGAGGAGGTGGAGGACGAGCGGGGCCCGCTGCTCGTTCGCAACACGGCGGTGGAATTGCTCCTTTGAGGAGATTCAAGTTTGATCTCGATCTGATTCTTCCGCGGGCCAGTGGAGATGTTCTGGATGTTGTACTGGCTGATGGTGGACAGAGAGCCGGGTGCGACGGAGGAGGAGGAGGAGGAAGATGACGGAGAGCAAGAAGAGACACCAGAGGATGAAGCCTGGCTTCCAGTATTAGGAATGGAGGGTGCCTGTGGGTTTGTGGGGGAGCTGATTGGCATGTAGACGTGAGAGGTCTGTGAGGTATGCGAGGAGGACGGGTGCGGGGGGACACACCACGAGCCAGATAAGGAGGACGGGTGTGAGATCTGGTAGATCTGCTGCTGGGGCTGAGAAGTGGGGCTGTACTGCGCCCTGCTCCCGGGCGGCTGGCTCTGCCGGCTCGTACCAGACTGGCTGACGTAGGGACGAATGTAGATGGAGTTGCCCTGAGGACTGCTGAGGCCCGACTGTGGTCCGCCGTGTATGTGCAAGGAGGTGGGCGTGTTGCGGCCCGTCTGAAGGTTGGGGGCTAAAGTCACGGTGATTGGGTTGAATCGCGGCGCCTGCTGGGGGGCCATGGTGGTTCCCTTCACCCCGAGCGGGTAAAGTCCGAGGTGCTGCGGGGGCTGAGGCTTGCGCGAGGGCTCCATTACTCCAAACACATTGAGCGCGGAGGGAACCTGCACGGGGGCGGACTGGGGCTCCTGCTGAAAGAAGTCGCTGTTGGTAGCCTGGCCGGTCTGGAGGGGCCCGTCACTCATGCTATGGGCCAGAGTCCGACTGCCGTTCATTCTCAGGCCGTCCCGAGCTGGGGCCGCATGCACATGCTGAGACTGCAAATCCAGGTTCAGCTGGGTCATGTGATTGTGGAGCCGGCTGATGCTGGGGTCGTCGCAAAAACCGAGGTTTCCTTCTTCACTGTAAAGGTAGCCCGGGCTGACCTGGGACAAGTATTCACAGCAGGCGTCTAAGTTGTTGTTATTCTGCAAAACAGACAGAGAGCACTGGAGTTGGCTGTTCAGCTGACACTTCAGACGGCAGGACTACAAGAATACTGTTGTGTTTTCTATGAAATTTGTTTATTTGTATAGTTTATTTCTTATTTGCATGTTTAAATTAAATGCTTACATTAAACCAAATAAATAACTAAATGGCAAGTATCAGATTTGAGGAGTTTAGGAGTTAATAGTGTTGTGCCTATTTAAGAGAGTTTGCTGTCCCATGAGGCGTGTCCCATGTGATCTGGGCTTGCCCTTTCAAAAGGAAGGCTAGATTTGTTTGTTGGAATGTACTGTCAACTCGGTGTGCAGCCACTTGGTAAGCTTCTTTAATTTCTTGCTTTCTTGTCTGCTTTCATGTTGTCTGCTTATGTATTGTTGCACTGTGTTTACGTCTGCTGATTCTTTGTGTTTTACCTACGTCAAATAAGGTAACGTTTGCTCCGGTGGCATCCAGACAGTTTATGCCGATAATTAATCAAAGTAAAAAAAAAAAAAAGAAAAAGTTATGAATGGCGAAACTGTAAAAATAAATATTTGAACTTGCTACGTTGCCGTCTTATCTTTGATCCTTTCTGATCCATTTCTACCCTGCATCTAACCATCATAAAATCATCCAATCTCCTGGATAGGTTCCCTGTTTGAACATGACGGACTGCTTAAATGCTGCCAAACGTATAACTGCAGCTTAAAGAGCTCGCTCACAAACTAAATCTGTCACCATATCCTTCTCATTGCACTAGCCATTCATGCAGACCTTTAACTCAAAGCAGTCTGACATGAAACCAGACATAGTTCAAAGCAGACTGACTTAGCTGAGATAGCAAATATTCCTGTGTTCATTTCAAAATAAAATGAACACTCCACAGGAGATTTAGGAGACAATAGGACCAACACATGCATGCAAAAGTGTGTACGGTGGTGTGTTTTCTGTTATTCTCCTTACCTGCAGAACACACTGGGAAACGACACCCTCTGGAACTTCGGGGAATTTTTGGCGCAGGTCCTGCAAAACCTGAATGTCAATTTGGTGTTTTCCCTGTGCCATTCGTATGTTACCAGTTGAGGACCGACGGTTCTGTTCAGCGCACTGGAGCGTCAGTTGTGACAGCAGACGGCCTTCATTTTGAACATCTTCTGAACTAAAGGACAAAGAGAAAGAAGAACAACAATAAGCAAACACACCACAAAGATACATACAGAGGAAATACAACTCTTAACTCTTTCTTTGAATAATAATTAAGGTCACAGCGTTGGAAGGCAAAAGCTGATGGGGTCTATAGATTCAGAGTGACCATTTCACGTTGCCTGGGAGCTTTCTAAATAATCTAGAAAAAAGAAGGATCATGGTAAAGAGAGGGAGAGATGCAGAGTCCTCCTATGAGGACGCAGGCTCTCAGGAGGTAAAATGATTCATAATTCAACCTACCCTCAATTGTTTGATGTGTGTAGCACCAATTCAACACAGTCATGCCAATGTCCTTTACAGACCAAAACAACTCACTCACTTTAGGGCTGACACTCTTTCTTTTCTTCTCTGCTGAAGGACTAAAGTATGCACCTTATCTACGTTATGGGATGTTACACGCCGTAACTGACAAAGAAAAGGAATCCTTAAAAACACCGGTAAACTGCTGATAACGGGAGGAAGTTCTGTTTGGTTTCAGTCAACAGCGGGGAGATTAAACAGTGGCTGTACAGAGCTGTACCCTCACCCACAGTGATAGGGTGCACAGCAGCTGGACAGGAAATGGAGCTGCCAGAGGTCAGTCGGAGACAGTGGCCGTCTCAGGGAGCTGGTAGGTTTAATGTCAGCTACATTTCCTCGTTCAGGAAGTTCAGGTCTCACTAAAACAGTTGTTTAACTGAGAAAATGAACCGGACAATGAGAATCTAAAACTGACCACCAGTGATGCTTTAATCTGTCTTTTAATCCAAAGGAACGGGAGAAGTTCTGCAGCAGCATCCTACGTTTTTAGTTTAACTATAGTCTGTACATGCAAACCGGCGGGAAAAAGCATCTCAACGATATCTCTGCTAACATGTAGGGAGAAAAGCTTTTAGCTCATTTAATGTACCAGTTCCTCTGGAAACTCAACTAAAAACAGCTAAACATGTGGCCCAACTTCACAGCAGAATTTGTGTTTGAGCTGCAAATACTTTTTGACATCTTAAATGAAGATATATAGTTGTTTTTTTTCACTTTATGGTTTATATAATCAACCACGGTGTTAGTTCTGAAATACATTGAGCGCTACAGAGAATATTTTATTCCATTTATGTAATGAACACTTTTCAAACATTTTGAGCTCTTAAAATAATGAATGAATTGAGATAAAAAGCAACAACATGTTCACATGAAGAGCAGCTTTTCCAGACTCTCTAGACTCAGGAAATCCCTCTGCGGCTCACGAGGGCTTTGCTATCTCCCAGGCATGCGGCAGCAGATTTCAGCACCTCTGCTCTGGACAGCCGCCGGACGCTGCTGTGGAGCAGGGGATCGGAGCATGCGTTCGGGGCCTACAGCCATTTCAAACCTCTGTCCGTTATTAGGAAAGGTGTGGAAGCACAATGGCTCTTTGAGCAGGACTCAGCGGCTCCTGCAGTGAGGCCACAAACCCACGGTCCCGGTCACACACGGAGCCCCATCATCAGTAGATACTAGGGGTGGGACGGTTCACAAACGGTCCACGGTTCGGTTCGATTCACGGTTTCGTGGTCACGGTTTTCGGTTCCGGTTCGGTATGTGTTGATTGTTAGGAAAATCTATTATGTCTTGTATAGTCAGGTTAAAACTGAAAGAAAAAAGCAGTCTGACATTTGATACATTATTGTGACAGTCTTAGGTTAAAAGTAGGCGAGATTCTGGCATTGCCAGAGAGGAAACAGTGCTAATTCAAACATGTGCTTGTTTGAACTAGCACATAAACATGCTTCTAAATGCAAAGTGGTCCATACAGCAGACCTAGAAACTGCTGTTGGCGGTCAGATTTTTATCGGCTACGCTGCTTCACTTCTTCTTCTTGTTTCCTACTGGTGGTTGCCTTTGGGCGCAGTAGCGCCCCCTTCTGCTCTGGAGTGTAAACGCTTCCCTCTGAGAAAAAGGAGCAGCAGGAACCGAACGCAACACACGCCAACCGAACCGAGACAGTAAAACCCAACGGTTCGGACGGTTTTCAGAAACCGTCCCATCCCTAGTAGATACTGATACCAGCGCCTTGTTTTTAGTTCTTTGCCTCTTAAAACAATCAAGCACAGCCTCACAGATCCCCCCACCACCACCACCCATGTCTGGCATTTTAGTGGTATCAGCTCAACCATTTCTTCCTGTGCTCCAGCAGACTTCACACATTGGCAAAATACAGCACCACTTGCTCAAATTCACTTTTGGCTTTGGCCTCTAAGGTGACCGAGTAAGCTGCAGCTGAATTTGTGTCTAGAGATAAATGCTTTGTGATATTTTCTGCCATTTTGATGTTTTATGTCTTTGACCGTCTGACCATTTTGACAAAACCTGGATATGTAGCTGTAGTTACAGAATTAGTCTATTTCTTGAATGGATTTTTCCTCAGATCAGCCTTCCCCCCTCTTGTCCTTCAGAATATTTTTCATCAAAAGAACGTGTGAACTTTTATCTTCAGATACTTTCCCTACATGTCTCCATACTTTGCCTTCCTGGGGTTGAAATATCGAGAAACAGACGCCGTTTTGGCAGGCATATACTGGCTTTCCATCACTATAACCTTCCATTTTAAAACTACAATCAAGAAAGAACTAACAAGCAAAATACACTTTAATTAAATACTAGCTAAACACTAATACTGTAATTTATTTTTCCGGCTGCAGCATAAAGATGGAAGCGCCCAAATACATAGCTATCTATTAACTCATTGACTGCCAGCCATTTTCAGAACAGAGAGTCGCTCACTGCCAGAGTTTTTTGAGAATTTTGACTGATTTTTCAAGAGCCACAGAATAGTTTGTGCTATGACTATGTAAACACCGAACACACCAAAAGAAAGAGTAGACTCTCTTCTTTCATCAGGAAAAAAGATTTTGTTTCTACCTTATTCCGTTCTTCTTCGACGTGCGTCTCACCGGCGCCATTTCTCTCATAGCGAACCATTGCGTTTGTTTTTATTTGCCTACAATCTATGCTAATCTCCCATCAAAAGTGGCACAGCTACCTAGAGGGTAAATTTGTTAGTCCATACTCTGTCTAGAAGCCGATATTTACGGAAAAACTTTCGCCGATCGTCCCCCAAGCCACTCGCATTGAAAAACATAAAAGACGTCTATAGACGTCTTTGGCAGCGAATGAGTTAAAAAAAACAAAAAAAACAAATTTAAAGTGGATCTGTATATATAATATTAGAATTCTCCTCATTTGGATTTGTTTGGAGGATTTGATGACTTGGAGTGTTTTGATGACGAACAAGGGTCTGGAAGTGTCTAGAGTTGGAAACACTGAAACAACTCTGAAACAAAATGTCAACGAGCACTACAAAGCTGGCAGATTAACTTGTGGAAATAAAAATAAAAAATCTCAACTTTATGTCTGAGGAATGCAGTGATGTGGTGCAGCAACAAAAAATCCTCATGGACCTAATGGAGGAGATTTGGGAGCCAAAGACTGTAATAAATACAAATAATAAAGAACTAGAGGACTCAATTGTTTCAGCAAAGGACTGATGATCTGGAGCGGTTTTGCCGTGTTGATGACCCTGTAATTACTTCTCTGGAGACTAAACAGCAGAACTTTGCCTGAGCTGCAGGTCCAGCCGCAGGCAAACAAGGTGAGGATGTACAACACAAGCTTAAATTCCTACCAAGGAAGAACCTTCATCTGGAAAACAACTAATATGAGCTTCCTTCACCTGAAATGATGACAAATTCAAGTTTGAAATTGTGATTAAGTTTGTATTATGAATAATGCGGAATAACTAACAAAGTCGGAATAAAGTGGACAGTAATGAAGTCCATTTACTTAAGTACAGTACTTCTTAAACAAGCTTTGGAGAATGTGTACTTCTCGACTACACTTATTGAAATGGACTGTTAAAAACCTTTTTTTGAGATTGAGGATTTTCAAGTACTTTGAATAGTCTTTTTGTAAGCAAATACTCAAAAATTTGAACTCAGGAAATAATTTAACAGAGCCACATTTGCCGGAGTAATATTTGAACAGTAGGGTCTTTACTTTTTACTCAAGTAATGAAACGCAGTACTTTGTCCACCACTGGTTACTACCACACACTAGCTCTTCAAGAATGCTTCCCCATTCATCCCCTTTGAGCGTTTCATTCTCACAGAATGACTGTGGAACCACAGGCCGTACCCGGCCTCCCTCAGAGGGTAGGAATGCATGGAAATTCTCCTCAGTCTTAACAATAGGGATTTTCAAGCCCTCACAAAAGCTACAGCTGGCCGAATCAAAGTCATCTGCCACCATGTTAATGTCAAAAGTCTGCCGGAAGAAAAAGGCTTAAATATAAACTGTGATACTGTGATTACATTCTTAATGGAAACTTAAGGCCACTGTGCATATTCAGAGACAGACACAAAACACCAGAAATGTCTTCAAAAGGTCAGTGTTTAGGAGACAGTTATGTGTTCAGAGTGAGGGATCTCCATTATTTACACATGTTAAATCCCGTGTTATCCCCGTTAAAGACTGTTAACAAATTCACTCTCGTTGTGCTTGGCTAACAGAGGCACCACACACAGTCTGAGGCAGGTTTTCTGCAGTAGGGCCCAGACTAAAGGAACAAACAGCAACATTTGGTGAAGAGCCGTGTCCTCACACTGCATATTATTATCTGGCTACCTAACCAGGGATGAAGGTCCCTGTGTGTTTGCCCGTGAGGAGAAAGGGGAGCAGGAGGTCCAAAAAGTCTTTAGCGCCACATGCAGCAGATGCTAGCGGATGGGAAGAGGGGCGAGGCTACTGGTTCCCGATCTGACCACTCTCCCATGGCCCTGTGGGAAACCCTGAGGTCTGAGGGTGGCAGCTGCCCGCTGGATCACATGTTGTGTTTCGGCCAAATTAAGGAAGGATGTAACTTGTGAAATTGAGTAAAAAGGCAGTCTATGAGACCGGGGACCTGCTACAATACGACCAGAACTCATGTAAGCCCAAGA